TATATTAAAGTAATAGTAGTGGAGGAAAAGTACACAATTTATCTCTGAACTGTAGTGAAGTAGAAGTACAATGTAGCAAAAACAAATTACTTTAAGTTACTTTACACCAATGCAGAGTAGAAATTAAATATTGCAAGATATGCAGGAAGAGTTAATTATATACAAGTCAAATAGAATAAGATGAGCTAAAAATATAATGTAAACTGAAATGTAGTACAGAGCCCATCACCATGACCCATCCTCACATTTGCAGCCTCAGCATCATTCAGCGACATGCTATCGGTCATTCTGATCGATGGCGACAAACTCCCAGCTCCAGAGTAAACATTAGTACACGTATCGACACACACTTGGAAGTGATCACTGCATTTGGACACACACAGCATTCATGAATTCATCCATAAACGTCTCCAATTACATCCACCTTCTTCACCATGATGAATACACCTCATTGGCTGTGTGTACTCTATGCTGTGCTTTCGAACATTGCTACTAAGGGTTCTTTGGGAGAAGTTATCAATAAAGAGCCAAATTAGAATGGATCTAAGCAGAATTAGAACATGCACACTGCACTCTCCCCGCACCGGGCTCCATCACTCTTCACCGTCATGTGATCAATGGAGCCGAGCTGCTATCCATTCTCATTACTGACACCTCCGTCCACTCCTGCTCTCCCCCCTCTGGCCGCCAGAGGCTGGGGGACGCTGTCAGGAGCATCGTTGGAGTTGATTTGCAACAGTGTTGAAAGTGAAGGCTTTAGGTTGCCATGTTCTTAGCGAAGGAATTAAGTGTTTTTGGTGTGCGTCCTTTGGCTGAACTTCATACGTGTCTCCTGCAAGTGGTGATGAACTTGCACACTTGTTTTTGCACGAGTTCCGCTCTTGATAAAAACGTTCTCTCTGTGACAGTACATTCCTTTTGCTGACAGAAAGCTAATGAACATTCCAACTGTTGGTCCATTTAAAAAGAAATATAGCAGCATTGGTATTTGCATTCACTCAATCACTCAAATACAATTTAGAGGTCTAAAAGTTATTTCATGTTATGCTACAGTACTTGACTACCTTTTGTACTATTGTACACATATTGTACTTTTTTTTACCACTTACTGCAATGATTTGATAACTTAAAGTTAGTACATTTCGAATTCTGATTATTAATACAAATATATGAACAACAAATACATTCTTGTGTATTAATATGGATTAGCCACCTAGCAGTAGTCTGAATTACCTGGCAATAATGCATGGCTACTTCACATTTTGTGATATTGTTTATGATTCTGAAATGGCCGGATTTGAGTACTTCTACTGTCAGTAATTCAGGTGAACAGTTTCTCGTGCTACTTTTTGTAGCGTATGATTTTGAACCGAGAAGTATTTTTACATCGCAGCATTGCTCATTTCACTTAAGTATGCGATCTAAATACTCTTCCACCACTGTATACATGGTATGCACAAAGCACTGACCTCCAGCTGTGTGTTTATTTATAGTCTGGATCTATAGGATGTCCTTTGTGATATTCTCCCACAGAATCAACATCAGTGTTTACATGAGAAGGATTGCTGGAAAACTAGAGCAAGAATCAAGTACAGGGCATGCAATTCTATCCCAAACATGCAGAGAGTATGACTGGCATGACTTTGAAGGCCCTTCTTCCCCAGCGAAGTCCTGCAGAGTTCAGATTATCATCAGCCCCTCCATCACAGACATTCCTTCTTCTTCTTGAATCCCAGAGATTAAATTCGGTTTCCCAGCTATACCGTGTGTCAAAAAATGAGTAATTACTTTTTGTGCACATGTGTTATCTGCACAAACAATGAACAACACAGAATAGGATAGATTCACTTTCACAACACAAAAGCTATCCAATGAGCCCAATGCAATAAAGCCTGTGGATGTTCATGCACTTACACTTATGTAAACCGCTCTGTTGATTCTCAATAACTCGAGCTACTGTAAGGGAATGTGCCAGAACGAAAAATACATCTTGTCATGTCTTAATTAAATTATTGTGGAATTCTAAGTATCCCTGCTTGTTTGTCTTGGTTAAGATGCATATTCATCACAATTATGTCAGCTGAAATCCCCACTCAGCTCTCTACAAACAGCTCCATTGTGAGTTGAAAGCCTTTGGGTGCAGGAGGGATCAGGGTAATTAGATTGAAAGAGTAAATATTTTTTCTACAAACACATCGGAGAGCTGTTGTCATGAACTGTGTGGAGGAAATAGTTTTGGGTGCCGGAGACGTACTAGCAGTGGTGGAAGAAGTATTCAGACCCTTTACTTCAGCAAACGTACTAATACATTACTGTCAACATACTCCATTACAAGTTAAAGTCCTGCATTCAACATATTACTTAAAAGTCCCATGTCATGCTTTTCTGGTTATTACCCGTCCCCTTGGTTGTCCGCAAAGAGCCCCGTCGTATCTCGTGCCATAAAAGACCACAATCTCAAATGAGCGATGTCCCACATGAAACTCCCAAACACTGAGACCGTCTGCAAATGTACCGTCTTGTTTTCAGAT